GTATCATTTGCCCCAGCTCGAGTGTGTGGTAATAAATCGAAATCAAACTGCCATCGGAGACATACCTCGGAGATACATATGTATGTATGTCCCAGCGGGCAGACCCATAGATACTCTGCCGCCGCCTCTCCTAGCAATGAAGAAATAAAAATCTAATTAATTGCATCAAAAATGCTGAGCTGTTGAAAACGTTTAGGCAATCAAATAGAGTAGTTTATTTTCCCATTTTTTGCTCCTTCTCCGTCTTATTTAATTTTGTTTAGCCTGATTTGTTAACTGCCCGGCTCGATCGGTGGAGTCGTAAATGTGGCATTATTTTGCTGCTGCCGCTCTGCCGTTTTTTTCAATTAAATATTTGAATACCTTGCCTGGATGAGTGTTTGTATTTTATTTATGTTTGTCATTTTTTCTGGCGCACTGTCCGTTGCCCTGGTCATATGGGTACTTTCCAAAATTTCGCCATTCACCATTTTTGTGCAGCGCTTGATTGTTTGGGCGGGTGGCTGGATGCCCGAATTGCGGATGCCAGCTTGACATCAGGATATGCAGTTGTGTTGGTGGCCAATAACTCTGGCCATAGCTTTGGATTATTCGACGAAACCTCCATTAGATGATACAATGATTAGAGAGGGATTAAATAATTGGTCTTTCTTATAGTAGTAATAGTGGTAGTATTAGTAGAAATAGTAGTTCTTAATAGTACATTTTAGAATAAGATGTTGACGAATATGAAAAAGAATGTTATGAATAGTTCGGCAGCTAAAGCGACTGTCGGGGATCCATGTTACCTCCAACCCAAGCAAATATTCACGCAAAAAAATCTTCGTAAATCAATCGATGGATCCGATAATTACCCAACATTCCATTGATTATCTCACAGGGCTCCCAACTGATGCCTCCGATATTGAATTGAGCCGTATTTCATGCATTCCAAACATTTGGCCAGTTCGATAGCAATAAAATCGGAATCCGAATTCCTACCGCACTTGGATTTATGGGGTCGTGTGTATCCTATTGCCCGTCATTAGCCAGTGGTCCAAGTAGCAGCCCAACACACTCGGAAGGGGACATAAAACTGCCGACGAAATTACCCAAGAGTATCTCCACTTTAGACTGAACCGAATTTTGCGCCTCAAAAAATAACCTCGCTAAAATCGGCGAAAAAAACTCAATTATTTAGGCTGAGCATTTAGACGGCAACGTTAACTGGTTGCTCGTTGTTTGATGCTGGACGTATGCATGTGTGCTAGTTATATAAAGATAAAGAAAGAAATAAAACATCGCAAACTATAACAAACAACAGGATGCAGTCAGCTAGGCAGCTAGGCAGCCAGGCAGCCAGCGGCGAGGCAGCCAACTGGTCTGTGCTTCTCTGCAATTTTTGGAGTATTGGGAAAGCACTTGCTGGCTTACGTAGAAAAATTGTTTTCGATACACTTTTCGACATTCATTCATTCAACGGACGGACCAACGACCGACCGGCTGTGGCTGCGGCTGCGGCCGCTCAAGTTGCTAGCTGATGACGATGGCAATTGCGGCAACTTTTAGCTAGCTGCTAGTTTGTTGGTTTCGTTTGGAAAATTGAAACAATTTCCGATGTCACTCTCACTTTTTATTTCACCTGACGACGACGACGACGAGGCACACTCCGTAGTCCATTCCAGCCAATCTAGACAACCAGATATGCAACAACAGCAGCAACAACGCTCTGCAAAGACGTGATTTGGAGATGTGTTTGCTCTCTGTTGCAACCGTAAGCTGCAACAGTCACTGATGTTGCTGCTGCCGCACTGCTACACTTGTTGTGTCCAGTGGGGAAATTGTGGTACAGATTGCACTTAAGTCCCCGCAGGAGCTCCAGCTTCAGTAACGTTATAGCCATCGTCGTCATTATCCAAGCTCCCAAAACCCATCTACCACTTCTGCGCTCGATGCTGCATCTTACAGCTGTAGTGGTTCTAGGTTTAAAACATCCACATTATCATATATTTTAATATTAAAAACAGAAACATTAAATAGATACCATTATTATTTAACTTGTTATTTATAAAGCATTATATACAAATTAAAATAGATGCTCCTGACCGCCGAGCATATGAGTGATCGTGACCTCTTCGATCTCAAGCACTTCGATTTAGTCTTATTGGCCTGTGTGCGTGCGTGTCTCCGTCTTCTCAATCTCTGTCTGTTTGTTTGTTTGTTGCATGTTTGTTGTGACGCGTTTGGTATCAGGTTGGTATTGCCTCGTTAGAGAGTGTTTGTGTCTCAGAGTGGGTTTTGTGTGCACATGGCTCTATGGATACCATCCTATGGATGCTGGCAGCTAGCTTTTGTCGCCAACAGTTGCAAGTTGCAAGTAGTTGCTTGTGCTGCTTGGACTGATGTAACAAGGTTTAATTTTCCATTTCAGTGAGCGGCTTGCTTTGGAGATTTTACTCTCGTTTTTCATTGTGTCGCCGGCTTTGGCATGGTTTTCCTTTTAGCCAAGTCTTGGACTTGGATTTAGCTGTGGTTTAGTTGCGCTTGATTATGCTTCTGCTGCCGCTGCTGAAGCGCGACTGCATCGAATGATTGTCATGATTATACTGATAATTATGCGGCTAGCTTTTAATAATCCCATGCGCAGATGGTGATGATTAGGTTGACCAAAACGAAGAGATAATCCTACATTGGGCCACACTAAGAATACCTGCCCTATAACTAAAATATAATGTAGTCATTTAGCAAAGTTGCCTTATTTGAATGTTTTTCCTCTGTGCAACCACGGTTGCAGTTGCTGGCCCAAACCAGCAACTTTGTCAACAGCAACATCTCCTCCGCTGGACATTTTTGCCAATCTGGAGCGCCGTTTTCCATCGTCGCCATAGCCGTCTGTCTGCCTGACTGCGTTTTTCGCGGTTTTACAACTTTGATTTCACTTTTCTTTGCAACATGCGACTGGCCGCTTGCGGGACTTTTATTTGTGTTTGTATTTGTATCTGTATCTGCGTCAGTATCTGTATCTGTACCTTCACCGTCCGTTTTTTGAACTGTTTGCTTCATTGCTCTCGTTGTTGTCGTCCACTGTCGGCCCGCTTAACTTTGTTACTCTTTAATTGGTTTTTTTCTTGGCTTTCGCAGGCATCCGCTTAAAAGCGATTATCACGACGATGATGATCGTGTTGCCTCCGATGATGCAGTGTCGTCCAGCTCAAGAGTTGGCTTTAATTGTCAACCTCTTTGGCACGTTTGCAACAAATTATAAAAACACATTTATCGCAGAGGACTCGGAATTGGGTGGTTGGAAGCTCTTATTTTTAAAAGAAAGAGTCTTCCGATGTAGGCTGATGGCCTAATATTGTCAAACCACGGCCAGCCTAACTCTTTTCTCAAAATCGATCGAATTAATACAGGTGTTAATTACCTTAATAATGAAACATAGTACCACACTCACTGTACGAGTAAGCCACTTGACTGCGCCAGTCCGAAGAGCAATCATCTCCTAAACATTCTCAGGCTCTCATTACAATTCAGTAACAATAATTTTCAATTCCATTACACCGCAGACAACAAATCAAAGGCAGCTAATGTGGCTAATTAACTTTTTGGCAACAACAGCAAGCACAAGCTGGCAATTTGTTGCCGCGAGACAATCGCTAAATGCTGCAAAACTGCAGGAAAAAACCTCAAGAGCAACCAGCAACTTGAGCGACGACAGCCGCAGCCCACGAAAATGTCTCATGAAAAATTCTGTTCTAGATAGGAGAGCAGTGCCTCATAGATCAACGCGCCCACCTGAATGCAGTTGTCTGTTGAAGTTGTGGCTCTGAATTGCAGTGGTGTTGTTGTGGATTCTGGGTTATATCTGCTGCAATTGGCCAATATGCATTTTCATTGCTGTTGCCGTTGAGCGAGGTTCACATGAAGGGTCGAGTGGGGGCATGTCTGAGGTTTTTTGGGGTACCATCTGCCAACGGGCAATGTTGAGACTTTTACACTGAGGAACCAAATGTATTAGAAGATGAAAGAAGTATTAGTATCAGTAGTATTAGCAATACTCTAAGATGAATTTAAGAGAATGGTTGCAGTGTCTGAGCTTCCTCTTTTATTAATCCATATATTACCCCATTTGAAAAGTGTTTGGCTCAGTGAGAGCCCAGTTCTCCAAGCCAGCATTTTTCATTAAACGCACCTTTCAGCGATGATGGGCGGCCTCCACGAGGCGCTACTGTGTACCACCCGCTACACTCTGCCCCATCGACCACAGCTAACCCCACGATGTGTGTGTTTAGATGTTTGTGCGACCGTCTGTTTGTCTTACATAATCGTCACTCTAGATACCGCTCAGTTTTTGTTAATTTTCTTGATTCTTGTCAGTTTTCAAGTATTTTTCCACCCTAAAACAACAGACAATAGAACAATTGTTTAAACATTTCAGTGGCCCTCGCGCGTTCCTTTCGAGGCTTTGCCGTTGCGCCAAAAGAACACACAAAAAAACAGATGAAATGAAGTGATCAAAAATGGTCCAAAAAAGATGTTCTTTGGATTGGCGCACACTTGTTACTATTATTAGTTATTAGTAGGTATGCGGGCAGGCGCAGTATGACGTCGATGGATTTCCCGCGACATATTGACCGATCTGGTACAGCTGCGAAATGTTGGCTCTGTGACGCACCTGAGAAGTGGGCTCATTTGGCGAGGGTCTGGATTTTTGGGTGTTGACTTGAACTCGTTAGCATTACATGCTAAATTCTGAATACGTTCCCAGCGGCAGCCGTTAACACAAAGGGAAAACAGCGAAAACCAATATTTGGCTAATTTAAACATTTGTTTGCGATTTCCATAACTCTAATCAATATTTAAACGTTAAATATAGAAAGTACGCAAGCGTTCCTATTATACCTCAAGACGGTATAATATAGACATTCAAGAGTACTGTCTGGTGTCCTTTTGTTGCAGGATCTTGCATAACCCGCCTTGGTTTTCCTTTCAGGCTTACAACTCCGGAAAATCAGAAGCGACTTTAAGCGTTTACCCAGTACTGGCATCGACAAAAACAGGAAACGGGACGAAAGAACTCAAAAATCTGCAAGCTGAGCTATCAATCCGCCGCCAATTAATCAATCAATCAATCAGAGATTGAATCTGAAAGAGGAAAACAAGGAAAACTCGCTTACCGCATCAGAGACCTATGAGAGTTATGAGAGAGAAAGACCACTCACCAAGAAAGATGCTTCCTAGCCCGAAACAGGGCTGCGTATACCCTGCCTTAGGATTAATACCCACTTCATATATATCACATGTACCTTACGATCTGGCCTCCCCGACGGTGGCGTCCACCTCGTCCTCCTCGTCTTCGTCGTCGACCTCGCCAACAACAACCTCTGCGGCGTTCACGGCGAGGCTGCAGCAACAACAGCTACATCAGGCCCACCAGCAGCTACACACCCTAAACCACAATGCCAAGGGAAAGAGAAGATGCAGCTTGGATCAGCCGCTCGATCTGCGATTGGCCCACAAACGGAAGCCGGACTTGGGCGACCAGGAGCCCTTGGAGGACGAGAACAGCAACCTGATTATGTTCACTGGTGAGCTGGCGCAGGTCCAGCAGAAAGAAAAGGAGCTCAACAACAACCACATAGCAGCTTCGCTGGCGGACTTGGGATTCGATATGAGTAGGAAAATGTTGAGGGCTCTGAGGGAGGGGGGAGGTGCTGCCGCTGGTGTTCAAAGCGCGCCCGTAGGTCCTGTGTCGGGAGCTTCAGCTCTGACTGGGCCGCCATGTTCGATGCCCGCAGTTCATCCCACTCTTCTAGAGGCTATGACCAAGAATTTGCCTTTGCAGTACCGCAACGTATTTGCAGGCGTTTTGCCCGGAAAAGTAACCAGTCCGTCGGTGTCATTAAGTAGTCCGACTGGTTCGGACTTTCATTTCAGGCATCCGCTGAAAAAGTGCGAGCTCACCTGGCCGCCACCCACGGAGCAACTACAGCTGGAACTGCCCAGCTCGAATCCTAAACTTTCACCACCCATGTTACCGCATCCTCAGCTTCAGGATTACCAAGCCCGGAGGAAAAACAAGGCTGCGGCTGGAGCGAAGCCGGGAAGCAATCCTGCTGGAACGGGCAACATCCCGCAGCGCAACAAGGATCGCTACACGTGCAAGTTCTGCGGCAAGGTGTTTCCTCGATCGGCGAATCTGACGCGGCACTTGCGGACACACACGGGCGAACAACCTTACAAGTGCAAATACTGCGAACGTTCCTTTAGCATTTCTTCGAACCTGCAACGTCACGTACGAAACATCCACAACAAGGAGCGTCCTTTCAAGTGCGAGATCTGCGAGCGTTGCTTTGGCCAGCAAACCAACCTGGACAGACACCTTAAAAAACACGAGTCCGACGCCGTATCCTTGAGTGCCCTATCCGGGGTGAGCGAACGAATGCACTGCATCCGTAGGTTCTGCGAGAACCCCACAGAAGAGTCCTATTTCGAGGAGATACGCAGCTTTATGGGCAAGGTTACTCAGCAGCAGCAACAGCAACAGCAGCAACATGACCACGACCAGATGCAGCACCACCACCAACTGCAGTTGCAACCACACCAGTCAACAGCCACTTCAGCGGCCAGCTCGTGTTCTTCCTCCCGTGACACGCCCACTTCTTCGCAGGCGGACGAGACAGATAATGCGGTGGGCACCTCTGCCGCCGATACTGGAGCTATCAAAGAGCCGGGGGAGGAGGAGGATACCGAGCCTCTTTTGGACCGGAAACGAACCCTGACCACCAAGCTTTTAAGCAAAAACACAACCACGCCAGAAAAATCTATTAAAGAAGAGGAACCCTAATTTCAACAACAATTTCCTATTAAAGAAACTTAACGGATAATACGAAGAGTTATACTCGTGAACTATGTCTAAAACCTAGCTGAGGACCAGATCCCTAACTATTTCTAAAACCTAGCTGTAAATATATACTTAAACCTTGAATGTTCTACCGCTATTTTGTAAATCTAATTGTACAAATCGAAAATTGGCTACCCATTTACAAATATATAAGCACTTTGGCTCATATATATAGATATTTCCTAAGCATTGGTATTTTTTGTATATATAAATCGTGACAGGACAAGAAATGTATGTATAAACACAAAACAAAACGCACCCACTGTTTAAATAAAAAAGTTACCAGTTGTAAAAATTATAAAAGAAATGCATTTTATTGGGAATTAAAGTCTTTTTTCATAAACAATTAGAGGCTTTTAAAACCTATCTAGAGGCTAGATCAATTGTCTATATCGTTATTTAGGTCTTAGTGCCTTGCTGCCTTTTCTGCCCTCCGCCTCGGTTTTTATAAACTTTTAATAACTCTGGGAGGCTGACCTTCCCGACCCAGAGTTAAAATTAATTAGACAGGTGAACTCTGGCCCCAGAATGCGCCAGATGGATTCCCAATTTGAATCCTTTAGGTGTATGGTTTCTTGTGTCGAGAAGGAGGAAAACCTGAGGATTTTTCTAGCAGCTCCATATCCCCTTGCAGTAGCCGCCACCGAAGATGTTTTGGGAGTCGCGGTAGAAAAGTAATTTTTAGGAATAAAAAGGAATCCGGGAGGAATCTCCCGGATGACCTTCACCTTCGACCTGTTGGACTGCGATCCGAATTTCAGAATAGAACTAGTGGGGGTAAAAAAGGTTTAAAAAAAATTAAGTTTAATTAAATACAAACTTTTTTTTCTTAAACAAGAACGGAAAGCTAACTTCGGGCGGAGCCGAAGTTTATATACCCTTGCAGTTAAAACCGGATATATATCGCAAACATCGGATATAGTTGGCCGATCCTTATGGGAATAGGAATATATAATCCAATTTATTACAATACAAAATCTAAAAAAAGTCCCAAACTTCTATCTTCAAAAATACGAAAGTTGATATTTCTACCAAATACCATTTCCGATCGTTCAGTTATATGGCAGCTATGGGATATAGTCGGTCGATCGTTATGAAATTTGGTAGGTCGGATTAACTGACCAAAAATAAAATCTGTACCAAGTTCCAGCTTTTTATCTTCAAAAACACGAAAGTTGGGTCATTTCCGATCGTTCAGTTATATGGCAGCTATAGGATATAGTCGGCCGATCCTTATGAAATTTGGCATGTCGTAATATTTTGCCAAAAATAGCTCTCATGTCAAATTTGAACTCTCTAACTCTAAAAACACTAAAGTTATACCAGGAAAGAAGGGTGTGTGCAAAGTTTCAAGTCGATAGCTTTAAAACTGAGAGACTAGTTCGCGTAGAAACAGACAGACGGACAGACAGACGGACAGACGGACAGACGGACATGCTCATATCAACTCAGGAGGTGATCCTGATCAAGAATATATATACTTTATAGGGTCGGAGATGTCTTCTTCACTGCGTTGCACACTTTTGACCAAAATTATAATACCCTCTGCAAGGGTATAAAAATAGACAAATTTCCCTTAAAATGTCCTCCGGAAATATGCGAGGGAAATTTCGTGTGTTTTTGGAGGTGGCGCCATCTGTGGGTGTTTTTTCTATTCTGATAAAAAAGAAATGTAAATTCACAGATGTAAAAATTTAACAGAGGAAAGGTCTGTTAAGACTTAACAGAAATTGAGCGGTAGTTGAGCGGGAAATTTGAATTGTGACCAAAAAATACCAATCAAAATTCCCGTATCTAAAAAGTGTTGAACAACAATGAAAAAAATTGAATGTAATTTAAAATTATAAATTAATTAATTAATTATTATAATTTTATAATTAAATTATAAAAATTATAACACTCTGTTGTAATTAATGGTATTATTATTATCTGTTAGTATTTTTCCCATTGAATGGTATTCTCTAAGCTTTTGGAAATTGTCACTCTAAATGAGAGAACTTTTTCTCTTTTGATTTTAATTATCAAAACAGTTTAATAAGAGATCGGTGAAAATAACTGGTATATAGTCAGATCCGACATGGCAACAGAAAATCAGCTGACGATAATCACTGCAGTTTCCGAACTTAAGGAACTTCAGAAGCTGTATCTAAAGGAATGGCCGCGCAACTGCGTTGGCTACTTCTGGCTGGATAACTACTTGAGATGGCTGAAACAGAAACCGAATTTGCCGCATCTAACATTTTTCACATTGAATAACGATTGGCAAAGCGATGGCTTATTTATCCTGGTGGTAAAAACAAAATTATCCCTGTGGCAACGTTTTCGAAGAAGATGTATCCTTAGACCCCTATTTTTTAGCACCGTTATCAATTGTTCTTCAGTAACTTAAGTCGAAAAAAAACGGGATTGTATTCGGCCTTGAAGTTATTGGACTGGTCGGCAGGATTCAAAGTCAGTGCAATTCACGATAGCCACCATACAATCTTCAAAGAACTGGTGATGGAACTCAATCTAAGCATGGATCGGGAAATGAAAACTATCATGTATAGAATGCCCTTCCAGGAGGCGCAGGAACTTGAAATAAGTTGTCCGGAAGGATACTATTTTGATCAAGTGCGTCTGGAACATGCGGCCCTCATAAACGAGCTCTGGTCAGCACGTCATGCTGGCTCCCTAAAGTTAATTCAAATGCTTATTGAAAATAACACCAATGTAGGTCTTTTTGAAAAGGACTCGGGCTTACTATGCGCTTGGTGTCTGAGGTAGTTCCTCGAAGGAAATTTGGACGCATATTGTCGATTTTATAGCCTTTTTTTTCAGACTCCAGAGCGGATTCTTAGGAGCCTTGGAAGTTATTCAATCCCACCAGCGCAAAGGATTGGGACTATCGGTGGCGGCTGCCATTTCTAAAGCCATTGCCGTCGATCTTCAACAGGACGTAACTGCCCTTGTGAATCTAAACAATATTGCAGCATGTCACGTATTCGAGAAACTGCAATTTCGTCTGATCCGGCACGAGCACTATTACTGGAGCATGATAAAACCCAAAGGCGATGGTCAGATATCGTGGCCCAACAATGACTAACGACCAGACAGCAAACAGAAGTGTTGACATAAAACTACGGGGGACTTATTACAAGCACCAATAAAAACTGTTACAGATCTAAACGTTCTATATAAATTTCATACATCTCTGGTAACTGGAGATCAGTTATAGAGATGGCTAACCTGCAACAAGTCGGTATACAGCAGATGGAGAATCTGAAAGCGCTTTACTCGCAAGATTTTCCCAAATACTGCAAGGAGTACCTCTGCCTGGAAAATTTTCTGGAGCTCCATAGAAAGGACACTCGTCTTAAAAATGTGAAAGTCTACTGTCTGCCTAATCTTGACCTTGGATTATTTGTAATTTTGGTAGGAGTGTGTTATCTGTGTCTTGGCATTTAATTTTTGAATTTTTTTTATTTGTGGGAAATGCGAAGGATCGCTATCAAGTCTTCCTCGGTTGCAAGGAAAGTGACAGGTCGGAGAATCTTCTCTACGAATCCCTGAACCAGTTGAATTGGTTTGGGGGTCAGCAACTCGCATCCATGCCACAAAGATACGTTAAAGCTGCGACCAAAGTGATCGAAGCCAAACAACTGCACATCGAGCACAATCACATAACTGGCTTGCAGTTTCTGGCCAAAGAAAGTGCTCAACAGTGGCAAGTAGAGTAAGTGGGATGGCGCAGTCTGGGGTCTCTTCGAAACTTTAAATATGATTTTTTAGACCACCACCTGGGTATGAGATGAAATCTCTGACCTTAAAGGATGCCGAAACATTAAATGACCATTGGAAATACAAGCAGCCTGGAAGTTTACTCTTTATCCAAAGACAGATATCTTTCAACACATCTGTTGGCCTGTATGAGGCGAAATCTGGAGAGCTAGTGGCATGGTGTTTAAGGTAAATAACCAACAATGGGCATATGAAAAATGCTGGATTTCTTTTATTAGAGCTCAGGATGGGTTGTTGGCCGTTCTTCAGGTGAAGGAATCCCACAAACGGCGGGGCCTTGGCGCACTTATAGTCAAGGAATTCTCCCGGCGTGTGGCTCTTCAGGGTCAGGATGTAATTGCCGAAGTGGATAAGGAAAACGATGCTTCAGCGTCTCTTTTTAAGAAACTTGGCTTCAAGGTTATCGATCAGTGCCACTGGTTGGTTACCAGGGCGCCCAACGGAGATTTACAATGGCCCGATGGCGAGTGATAAGATTAAGATTGGTTACCATGTAAAAAATATTCTATACCATTAAAAGATTAAATATTCTTATTATAAATGAGCCAAAAAGCTTATTATTTTACAAAGAGAACGATTTGTTTTAAGAGAAATTCTAAGAGAGTGATCAGAAGCTGCTCGGCTAGTAGCTTAAGATAACATCGTTCCGACGCCATAAAAAATCTACATTCAATCCGAAAGGTTGGCAGACTCTACAGAAATGAAATTGGAAGCCCTCTGTTTGGAAGACCTAAAGGCATTTCAAAATCTCTATAAACAAAATTGGCCCAAGTATTGCCAGGAGTATTACTGCCTGGATAACTTTATTGAATTTCTTAAGAAAGAACCCCACATCAAGAACTTGAAGCTTTTTACGTTGGATACAACCCAGGCCAGAGAGAACGGTCTTTTTATAATAGAGGTGCGTTCTACATAGAGAATTAAATGAACTCTTTATTTGAGTGTTGAGTTACTTTATTAGGACCGCTATCAGCTCTTTGTGGGAAGTCTGAACAACACCGATGGGCTTCTACAAAAAGCCTTGGATTTATTGGACTGGTCGAATGGCTTCAAGTGCAGTTCGATACCAGAGCGGCACATCTACGCCTTGGACCAAGTAGTAGAGTCCAAGAAGCTACGCTTGGTATTCAGGGATTCAACTGATCTTTTTTATATGCCGGCAAAGGAGGCCCTCAAACTAAGAGTCGAGTAAGAAATTGTAAACAATAGTTTGTCAAGGATAATGACATTTTATTATTAACATTTTAAAGACCACCGAGCGGATTTTATTTCAAAAGATTGAGCGTCGAAGACGCTCCGTTGGTAAATGATGAATGGCCCAATCATCACTTAGGTTCGTTATACTTTATAGAGAGACAGATTCGGATGTGTGTCAGTATAGGACTGTACCATGAAAAAAGTCAGGAATTGGTGGCATGGTGCATAAGGTAAGGTGTTGTTTAATTGTATTATCGAGCAGGCACTTTTTTATGTGTACATACGCATTCGCATACCCATTCGCAGGTTACAAGGCGGTTTTCTTGGTGCCTTGCAAGTCAAGGAAGCTTATAAGCGCCGAGGATTTGGTAGTCTTGTGACAAGAGAAATATCTCACCTGCTTGCCTCCCAGGGTCATGACGTGATGGCGTTGGTAGGCCCCACGAATAAAGCCTCATCCGGAATGTTCACCAAGCTAGGCTTCACTGTCATCGACCAATGCGTTTGGCTAAGAACAGAGCCAACGAATGGACCCTTCGTCTGGCCCGAAGGAGAATAGGTACGATGGTGCGATGATATTCTTGTACAAGTATAAGTCCATTTTTGAGACTTACCTGCATTGGGAAGTTTTATGTCGTTTTTTATGCACTTTTTCTATAAAAAGAATAAAAATAGTATAAAATATCCCATTTATCTTTTATATAGAAAAGGGTAGCGGGATATTATTTACTGGAAATAAAACAAGTAAAGTTACTAGAAATGAAATTAGTAGCTTTTCTCTTTATGCACTCACAAGTTGGTTACACTGCGGGCCTTAGTTCTAAAATCGCTACAAAGATGTAGTCGTCTGGCTTATGAAGTCTGCATTGAGCTGCGGATTTTGTGAAACTTAAATTTAAAAGAGCGGGATGAATTTTTGACTTCACTTATTAAGTTTACGTTCAATAATAATGCGCCTCAGATGACAGCCCAACGAATAAGGACAATTCAGGGGCTGCCAAAAAACTGAGGAAAAGTTTTTTCAACCGGAAATTAATTTCCCTGACCGCAATTTCCAATGTCCTTAAAGACCAGTCATCAAACTTCAAAGCAGAACAAAGCAGCCAACTCAAACAAAGAACCCAAGAAAAATGGGAAAAGTACAAGGGTAATATATTTGGGAAGCCTGAAGAGAAACTTCGTGGACACCAGCAGCCGTTTAGCTACCAAAGAACTCTGACTCGTTATCCTTTGCCTATCGTTATCTAGCTCGTTACCTTTTTTTTTTTATCGAAAACGACTTTGTTGGATGAAATAGAAAGTGATGCCCAGCATATAAACTTAAAAATGCATAAAAGTAAGAGGTAAAGCCAAGATGTCCACAATTCAGATTGGCCGGGTTTCGTGGTTGTAATATACGAATGTTTCAAGATAGGGTGCTCTAAAGAAGTAACATAGTGGGAAGTGGTGCTCCAATAAGCATATTTTATTTAAGGTGGTCTCTATTAACAATCCCATGTCTTTTAAAGTTTTTCTGAATAACTACCAATCACCTCAGGAAATGCTTTAAAAAACAGACAATGCAGCAAAAGTTCCAACCCGGTAATTTTGTATGGTAATTTTCTATTGATAATGAAATGAGTGCAGAGTATTTTACTCGATAAGGCGAGGAACACAATGGGTCAGATCGTAGGACAAAAAGGAGAATGAAATTTCTGTAGTCCACGTGTTCAAACATTAGGTTGAACATGAATTTAAAACATAAACCATTTTAAAATATTTGGAAACTTTTTTGGGACTTTGGACTTTTTGTAGCCCTTTCCAGAATGTTCAAGCATTGAACACTATTGTATTTGTATATACAAATTCTTAAGATAGAGTTTCAGGGGATCGGAACCATAAAATGCAAGACAAACATCATGGTCTAAAACCGATCCCCTGCAGCCTACACAAATATGTAAACAATTGGTGCGCTTATCGCACTTGAGAGCAGGTCAGCGTGCAGTGCGTTGATAAGTAGTTTTAAATAGATTTAAGATTTTCATGTATCTTACTTATAACAGAATTTTACAAAATAAACTCAGTTTCTAAACGGAATTCATTGGAGTAAGACCTAATTTTGGGGCTCCTCTAAACATTTGGTATACGGCTCGAAGAACCAAAGGTTTAGAGGAGCCCCAAAATAAGGTCTGACTCCAATTAATTCCGTTTAAAAACTGAAACTGATAAGGGGCTCGACCATAATCATCAAAGAGGACACTCTGCTACAAAGCAAATTAGAATTGTTTTGTAAAAATGTCCAGAGGATACGGATGCGTAACCTCTGGTCGATGTGGAGAAAAGCAAGGGCGATTCCTGTTAATGTTTTATGAAAGCCACCGAAAGCGTCCCAATACAAGGGCAGGTGCTAAAAGGTGCAGGGTGGTGTGCGCCTCGGGGAGCTGTCTTGGATCCCGTTCGATCCGTTACGAGGCATCACGTTTTGGTTATAAATTTGGTTTATATGTTTTTTTTTACAGGAGAGAAACTCTTCAAACCTTTCCTCTCCGATTTCCATAGAACGCTTTATTGCGATTCGTGCATGTGTGCCTGAGGGGACTTTTTTGGGGGGAAGGCTCATTTAAGGTGGCGTAGCTCCTACTGGATAGCTCCAATGGAGCGGGCTTTTAATCAATGTTCTGGAACCATCAATTCGATACCTAAAATGTATCTTACTGTGCGCGACTCTTAAAGTCAATCCCGAAGTAAAAGAGCCTTGAAGGGGCCAGGAAGTGTTCAGCAGTGTAGACTGCCCCCATTGAAAGGCTGTCCTTTTAAGGGAAGTGAATATAGGGGTTAGCAGCAATTATGTACCTTTACGTAAACTAGCCACAAGAAGACCCATCGCTTCTCTATCGCTTCCTTTATAATCCACATTTATTCTATTTCCAGTAATAACGTATTTTAAATTCGCCAAGTTTCAACTTCTGACAATAACCTAACAATAAAATAATGTGTAGCATCCATCACGTGTAATTGTTTCAACATAATTGGGCGGAGGCTCGTGTTGTTCCTTTCAACCCTCCACCTATTATTGCACAGCCCGGCATATGTATAGCTGGCTTCCCAACCCATCTTGCACCATCCACCCACCCATCCGCAATTCCTACACTCTAAGACAACTTTCGCACATTGGGCTTTGTTTCTGCACTCGGGGCCGACACATCTTTTTGTTCCAAAGACAAAAAACTCGTGTAATGAATTTTTCCGCTTTTGGTGCACACAAAAGAAATGGACAACAGCAGCCAGCATGAAATTAGGGGAGACCTCTGACGACGGGAGCGTGGGAGGGGAGGGACAAAGCCCAGCTGTATTCACATTTAGTTTTTTGTTCTGCACTCACGAGGAGGGGCTAATTAATATCATTGTTTTTGAAAGTACAGAGTCCGCTGCATTATGAAAAATGCATTTTCCCGAGGAGCTGGGTCTGGGTCTGGGTGGGCATCCGTGTGTGGAAGGCACTTTTGCTTACGAGGAAGGAAGGCGAATGGGCTATCGGGTGTGTGTCCTTTGGCCTTCTTTGTATGCGAACAGGGCGTGCACTGAATGAAACACCGATTGCCTGGTCAAAAACCAAGGACATCTACACAACGGAATGAAGGTTGTTTGCATAACACTTGCTATTGATATAAAGACATTAACAAGGATCAGCCAACATTATTCTTTGTAAGCCCAACATTAAAAGTGGGGTTGTTTTTTTTACTTCCATCGAAAGCAAGGTGGGGCATCTTGAGTGGACGTTTGATAAGGGGTCGGCCGGCACTCGGCGGTAAGCAAGGCAGACCCTATTTTCTATCCGAAACACAAACAAACTCGGCACAAAAACCAGTAATGTCGCGTCATCTCTTAGTGCGTGACCCAAAGGAGAAAAATCAACTTGGTGGTGGCGATAAATTCCGCCAAAATAATTTCTCCAACAGCAGGCGTGCATTGGCCCTTCCCAATGCCAGACGCGTTTTCACTGCGAGTACTTTCGCTAATTGAATTAGTTAAGTTGCCTCCACTTTCTTTCCGATCCGTTGGCATTTCTTTGCATGGCCGTGCAACAAATTCATTTGCAACTTGCGCCTTACTTACGTACTTACTCCTCAGACCCCCGGACCCGGCGGTCTGCTGGCTCGACGGCTGGTAATTATAATAAACAACAACTGTGTCCTGTTTACTTCATCATAATTAACATAATGGGACTTCAAGTACAAAGATGTTGACAGTAAACAAGAAAAATATGACAAGATTTTCATGTTGCTGTTGCCGACGCCGTTGCTGGGTGCGATGTGCCTTTTCATCCAGGACCAATGGAGAGAAGCAACAGCCACCAGACGGAAAGGAAAAGTGCGAGAACGCAAGGCAACTCTTTTCCAGGACCTTCCTTATGCCGTTTGGCCATTTTCCCCGTTAGTCGATGTTTGTATTGTCGTAGCTTTCGCCGCCGCCAGAGACGTGTGTGCGGCTCTTAAGTTCACTGGGAGAAAAGGTTCGAACTTAACACCAGAGTAATTTTCTGATAATCGTTTAGGTTAAAAAAAATATTCAAATGAGAAAATACCATGAAGAATTACAATTTTTAAGAAAATTAATCGCACTATTTTTCAGCAGTACAGGCTTAAATATGAGTGGTTGCAAAAGAGTTGCTTTTGGAGCTTGCCTTATAGTCCGTCGTCCTTCAACTCAGACGACTTTGTTGCGGTCCGACTGTGTCTTATCGTGCACTTCAGCCTTGTCCTTTGAGCATTTAAATGAATGCGACTTTATTAACATTGTTTACCAGCAAATGTGACGTGGCCACAAAAAGCCAGGGTACAAGTCTCACCCCGTTCGTGCGGTAATTTCCTTCCCTAAATAGTATTCTAGTATGTTCCCGGCTAAGTACAGAAATAAATAAATCGATATGGCTTGGTCGTTTTTGTCTATATACATATAAACCCAGGAGAACACTTTCAGGACTCAAAAACATTGAAACGATAGTTATGAAAAACATTGACCACGGAAAGCTTGGCCTTAAACGAAATTAACTTTAGCCTCATTAATTCTCATGAAATCAAGTTTAAAGTCACACTTTGGTCGAAGGCTTTAAAAGGGTCCCACTGCTTGTTTGACTCTTGTGTAATTTGGTTTGGCCCAGCCCAGCCCACATCAACCGCTGTCATCTCAGTCCTTCCAAACCCATCCTTGAGATGTCTGTCCCGTGGGAGTAATTTTGCGTTTTGTATTTAGTGGTTTTTGTGCACTCGGTTCATGTTTAGCTTAGCTCAGCTTCTTCCCTGGCGTCGTTTTGGGCCTCCTCCCCCTGCCGCCCTGTTTTTTATATCACATTTTCAAAAATTTGCTTACGTACGCAAGCGAGGGTAAGTGCACTGAGCGAAAAGGGACGTGGCCTGCTCTGATCCCACCACTTATGACTGGCGGGTAGTGCAGACACTAATCAAATTTTGTATGAAAAAGTTTAGGCAGTTCCTTGCCTCGCCCGTTGTAGTACTACTCGTGGAACTGGGATGAGGATTGTCTGGAGCGTTTGTTTATTCACATTAAGAGGAAAAAACGTGGCAATGTAATCAAAATCATATGGAACAGCTCCAAGAACGATGGTTTCGCGCTTTGACATGAGCGATTTAATGTGAGTGTGTTCTGTGCGGCACAGCCGCGCTCCCGCTCCGATGTATTTTTTTTAGAAATATTCGTGCGTGGTTTGTTTTATGGGACCATAAACGCTTGTTTCATTTCAAAGTCGCACTTTTATTTCCTTTTGCCGTTTTGCGGTTACAGCAGGCAGAAGGCTCCCACTCCTGGCTCCTGCCTCTACCCACACATGCGCACTTTAAGGAGGTGCATCACTATTACAGCTTTAATCGTGTTGGCTGCCAAGGACGGTTGCGAGCGTTCAGTGAAGGTTACCGGGTTGCTCATCGCCGGCAGAAACGGAAGTACAAAGGTAGCCTAAGGTCAGGCCTCTATTGGGGGGAAAATGGTTCATATTTGAAAAATATTTACATATTTCATTTTGTTGTTTAAAGCAAGCAGAAATAAAAGCTGAGCAGGAGGCAGGAGAGAAATCTCAAGAGCTAAACATTTTCTGGGGACGCAAAGGATCGGGATGCAGACGCACACAGATTGCGGCATGTAGCCATTGGGTGGCAATCAACTAAAATAAGTTGCCTAGGCGCAGCTAAAGCCGAAAGACATTACGGAAACCAGGCTGCACAGGCTCAACGCCCCCGATAGCGACGCGAGCTGCCTGCTGATGTCTGGGCATGGTTTATGCATTAGCAAAAAAAGTAACCCTCCCTCAGGTGAGGGCCGGGTTGCGAGGTGAGCACTGCCTCGATGCTATTAACGTCTTCAACTTCCTGTTAGTGAATATTTTAATTATTAATAACGTCGCTGTTTCTACGCCCAGAATTCTGGCGAGGAGCCTTGTAAGACAGCTCTTCATCGACCTGTTCTAGCTTCGCCCCTTGTCCTTTGCTCCTCTCAGTAAGTTTTCATTTTAGCAGTTTTCTTCAAGGCGCTGCCATTGCCTATGCTTTTCCATTTCAAGTACCCTAGTATGTGCTTTAATGAAACATTCAACATTTTTTTAAAAGAGAAAAGGCAAATATCGCGCCTTGTCAATTACGGCCTGTAATCCATAATCGGGCTATGTTAGATTACAAAATCATTGGCCCATCAAACATGTCAAAAATGCCACTTCGCGTAGAATTGGAGCGAAGAAAATGTAACTTATATGGAGTTGTGCCGAAGATTGATGTCCTATTTTCGAAAGCCACCGTCGATGGCAGACCACGTGCTCGGCATTTCTTATTCAGTCGGCTGAAAGACAGGAGTCTTGAGTCCGGTCATTGATAAGCCCCTCGTAATTATTATTATTGCCGCAGCCTTCGCTCACGGACTTCATTACGGCGAACAGGGAACAGCGAATTCATTTGCATGGTTCCTCAGGTTAATTTTGACAAATGGCTTCGATCTCCCTAATGTATTGGAGTAATTTAGCAAAATTAATGCCTCAATTAATCAGACAGCTTCCGCATCTGCTCTGTTTTCTGTTATCCATGCCCTCTCCGGTTCGTTGTACCTTCTTCTCACAAAGTCGGGGCGCTTCCGTAAGCTTCCTGCTCCGCTAAATACAATCTGTCCGACATCGGTGTGTATTTGCTGTCTGTCAATTTAGCAATCAGATGCGCTGGTTGTCTGTGCCTGATGGCGGGGGAGTATCCCTTCAAGATAGGCTGAGGGTAGAATAGTATAATGGGGCTTATCTCGCAGCTAACTGGGAAGACGAAGGCTACCCCGGACTCCCACGTGCGGCCACAAAGCACAATACACCAATCAGTGCGGCACATATCCTGATGAGGTGTGTGGGCCCGATTGTCTGAAACTCTTCCGTGATCGAAAGCCTAAACTTAAATGCCGCCCATGACGGTCACTATTATTAAAACCTGAAAGTAAATTACCAGATTTGAAACTCACTAATAACCAACAGCGCCGGTTTCGGTATTAACAAGTTAATAAACCACAAAGAAATTTAACGTGAAATTTGGTATTGAAGCCCAAGATATGCGTTACAATAGTTTTATGAAAATTTTACAGGCAAGTTATAATTAATTGCATTTTTTCAGGCATAAGGCTGCTGTGCCGAGTCAAGGATTTCAAGCTCGAGACCGCTTAGTGCAATGGTCATGGAAAATATGTGGACCTCCTTCACCTCACATTTGAGGCACCCATTCGAGCAAGGTGACGAAAGTGTCTAGCTTTAGAAACATCGTCACCTGTACGCGAACAGAGGTTATTGCAGGCGGAAAAGCGAAGAAATAATTCATCTGTATGGCTTTAATATCCTGTCTGGCTGCAAGCAGCTGCCAATATCCTGTCTCACTTTGAAAAGATTTCCCGCTTCGCTCATAACATATTAACTTAATATTTCGATCCCTTGCCGTCGCCCACAAAAGAAGCACCCCAATATGAGCTTGTTTGTGTGAGGATGAAATGACATTTTAATGCCATGTTATATTTTCATTGTTGTTGCTGTTTGTCACTGTCGCTGCTTTCGTTGGTACGCCATCAGCGCCCAGACGCCATTGGGACGACCTCAGTCATGAATTCTGACAACCAGCGAGTGAATGAGCATCGAACGCTTTATGGCAACATGTAAAATCCATTTATTTTGACATGAAACACATAAATCTATACCCGATCCATTTCTTTCCTTCTCCACCCGGGAAACGCATACATTCAACGCATCAAAAATAAGGTACAAATTCATATTCCTACATTGATGGAAATGCTAAAGTCCAGCTCGGTTATGGGATGGGTGGCTTTAAGAACCCTTCGTAACAAAACATCATTTATGATTTCAATGTCCAAAAATTGCTTGTTGTAGAGAAGGCGACGAAATTTATTTCTCGGAAACCTAGGCGTTCAGACAGATTTGCTTATTTTTTGAGTTTTACCTTCTTAATTATTTCAAAATTTTACAGTGACTGAAAAAAAATTAATAGTTGCGCAGGTTCAGCTCTGAAAAATGATAAAAAGAAAGCTTGTTCGGGCCAGAATTCCCCGGAAGAGGACAAAACTAGCGCCGAAAGTGCCCAAAACCGATCCACAGCAACAGCGCCACCTAAAGAATCGTTTTAGACGGGCACCAATACCCGGTCGCAACAAGTCTTTCGTAGCCCAAAGCTCAGTTCCGCCCAGCCAGCGGGTCTGGCGCAGGACTGCTGTTCGAACGAAGCCAAAGCCGAAGGTTAAGCTCCCGCGGCTGTTCCGTCTGGACCACCTGACGGGTCTGCCTGTGGATTACGAAAAGACAGTGGAGCGGGTAATGCACTATGTGAACCCACACCTGGGTAATCGACCTAATGCCGAGCAGATGCTAGAGGAACTGTTGACCAGTATGTTTGCCGAGGTGATGCGACAAGGCTGCCGCGATCGCCTGGGCAGCCACCAGTTGCGAGCGATGCTGAAGAACAGCAAGGGATGCTCCTGCCCAATGGGACAATATCTAAACAAGTGCGATCTGAACTCTCAGAGCGAGAAGGACAGGCGCGAGACGAATGAAAGTTTGCAACACTTTCATAGTGCCTGGTAAGCTTTCATCATATTGAATTCAACTACAATCGTAGTTCAACACCTATTTTCCCTTAGCAAACGGGGACCGCGGCAACCACAGAGTAGCCGTCCTACCTACACCAGCAAGTTCAACTTTAACCAACTGAAAATCAAGAGCACCTAGAATAAATCTAAAATCAAATTTTCTTCCGTCGTTCGCAAACTGCTTTTTCATGGACTCTTATTTTAATTTCCCAAGATAACGGAACTCCAATAAATTATATATTTTTTTAATTTGAATACTTTGTAAAGTCTTCTGTAACCCATATGGACAAAAACGATGTCTATATCTTATCTTAGAGCGGAGTACCTTAAACCACTCGCTTTTCCTCCAATATACGTCAAAAGCCGGAATCAAAAATATTCCAATTCCAATATTATATTCCAATATTTCTAGGGAGTTCTTTGAAAACTGAGAAATTTATGGGGATGACCCATATGGTCCAAAAGGGATGTCTATATTTTCTTCAGTTTTCATCCGATCCTTGAGCGGAATACCTTAAACGATTTGTTGATCGATTCTCCTTCAATCTGCATTAAAAGCTAGAAGCAAAAATATTTTCAGATTTTGTGTCCTTTTTTCTATGAGGACTCCTCTGAAAAGAGGGAGATGTATGGGGAGGACCCATATGGTCCAAAGGGATGTCTATATTTTGTTCAGTTTTTATCCGATCCTTGAGCGGAATACTTTAAACGATTTGTTGATCGATTCTCCTCAAATCTGCATTAAAAGCCAGAAGCAAAACTATTTTCAGATTTTTTGTCATTTTTTCTATGGAGACTCCTCTGAAAAGAGGGAAGTGTATGGGGAGGACCCATATGGTCCATAGCGATGTCTATATTTTCCTTAGTTTTCATCCGATCCTTGAGCGGAATACCTTAAACGATTTGTTGATGGATTCTCTTCAAATCTGTATTAAAAGCCAGAAGCAAAAATATTTTCAGATATTTTGTCATTTTTTCTATGGAGACTCCTCTGAAAAGAGGGAGGTGTATGGGGAGGACCCATATGGTCCATAGCGATGTCTATATTTTCTTTAGTTTTCATCCGATCCTTGAGCGGAATATCTTAAACGATTTGTTGATCAATTCTCCTTCAATCTGCATTAAAAGCCAGAAGCATAAATATTTTCAGATTTTTTGTCATTTTTTCTATGGGGACTCCTCTGAAAAGAGGGAGATGTATGGGGAGGACCCATATGGTCCAAAGGGATGTCTATATTTTCTTCAGTTTTTATCCGATCCTCGAGCGAAATACCTTAAACGATTTGTTGATCGAATCTCCTCAAATCTGCATTAAAAGCTAGAAGCAAAAATATTTTCAGATTTTTTGTCATTTTTTCTGTGGGGACTCCTCTGAAAAGAGGGAGGGGTGTATGGGGAGGACCCATATGGTCCATAGTGATGTCTATATTTTCTTCAGTTTTTATCCGATCCTCGAGCGGAATACCTTAAACGATTTGTTGATCGATTCTCCTTCAATCTGCATTAAAAGCTAGAAGCAAAAATATTTTCAGATTTTTTTGTCATTTTTTCTATGGGGACTCGTCTGAAAAGAGGGAGATGTATGGGGATGGCCCATATGGTCCAAAAGGATGTCTATATTTTCTTCAGTTTTCATCCGATCCTTGAGCGGAATATCTTAAACGTTTTGTTGATCAATTCTCCTTCAATCTGCATTAAAAGCTAGAAGCAAAAATATTTTCAGATTTTTTGTCCTTTTTTCTATGAGGACTCCTCTGAAAAGAGGGAGATGTATGGGGAGGACCCATATGGTCCAAAGGGATGTCTATATTTTCTTCAGTTTTTATCCGATCCTTGAGCGGAATACCTTAAACGATTTGTTGATCGATTCTCCTCAAATCTGCATTAAAAGCCAGCAGCGAAAATATTTCTCGATTTTTGGTCATTTTTTCTGTGGGGACTCCTCTGAAAAGAGGGAAGTGTATGGGGAGGACCCATATGGTCCATAGCGATGTCTATATTTTCTTCAGTTTTCATCCGATCCTTGAGCGGAATACCTTAAACGATTTGTTGATGGATTCTCTTCAAATCTGTATCAAAAGCCAGAAGCAAAAATATTTTCAGATTTTTTGTCATTTTTTCTATGGAGACTCCTCTGAAAAGAGGGAAGTGTATGGGGAGGACCCATATGGTCCAAAGGGATGTCTATATTTTCTTCAGTTTTCATCCGATCCTTGAGCGGAATACCTTAAACGATTTGTTGATGGATTCTCTTCAAATCTGCATTAAAAGCAAAAGCAAAAATATTTTCAGATTTTTTGTCATTTTTTCTATGGAGACTCCTCTGAAAAGAGGGAAGTGTATGGGGAGGACCCATATGGTCCATAGCGATGTCTATATTTTCTTCAGTTTTCATCCGATCCTTGAGCGGAATACCTTAAACGATTTGTTGATCGATTCTCCTCAAATCTGCATTAAAAGCCAGAAGCAAAAATATTTTCAGATTTTTTGTCATTTTTTCTATGGGGACTCCTCTGAAAAGAGGGAGGTGTATGGGGAGGACCCATATGGTCCAAAGGGATGTCTATATTTTCTTCAGTTTTCATCCGATCCTTGAGCGGAATACCTTAAACGATTTGTTGATCAATTCTCCTTGAATCTGCATTAAAAGCCAAAAGCAAAAATATTTTCAGATTTTTTGTCATTTTTTCTATGGAGACTCCTCTGAAAAGAGGGAAGTGTATGGGGAGGACCCATATGGTCCATAGCGATGTCTATATTTTCTTCAGTTTTCATCCGATCCTCGAGCGGAATACCTTAAACGATTTGTTGATGGATTCTCTTCAAATCTGCATTAAAAGCCAGAAGCAAAAATATTTTCAGATTTTTTGTCATTTTTTCTATGGGGACTCCTCTGAAAAGAGGGAGGTGTATGGGGAGGACCCATATGGTCCAAAGGGATGTCTATATTTTCTTCAGTTTTCATCCGATCCTTGAGCGGAATACCTTAAACGATTTGTTGATGGATTCTCTTCAAATCTGCATTAAAAGCCAGAAGCAAAAATATTTTCTGATTTTTTGTCATTTTTATTGTGGGGACTCCTCTGAAAAGAGGGAGGTGTATGGGGAGGACCCATATGGTCCATAGCGATGTCTATATTTTCTTCAGTTTTCATCCGATCCTTGAGCGGAATACCTTAAACGATTTGTTGATCGATTTTCCTCAAATCTGCATTAAAAGCCAGAAGTAAAAATATTTTCAGATTTTTTGTCATTTTTTCTATGGGGACTCTTCTGAAAAGAGGGAGGTGTATGGGGAGGACCCATATGGTCCAAAGGGATGTCTATATTTTCTTCAGTTTTCATCCGATCCTTGAGCGGAATACCTTAAACGATTTGTTGATGGATTCTCTTCAAATCTGCATTAAAAGCCAGAAGCAAAAATATTTTCAGATTTTTTGTCATTTTTATTGTGGGGACTCCTCTGAAAAGAGGGAGGTGTATGGGGTGGACCCATATGGTCCATAGCGATGTCTATATTTTCTTCAGTTTTCATCCGATCCTTGAGCGGAATACCTTAAACGATTTGTTGATCGATTCTCCTTCAATCTGCATTAAAAGGCAGAAGTAAAAATATTTTCAGATTTTTTGTCATTTTTTCTATGGGGACTCCTCTGAAAAGAGGGAGGTGTATGGGAAGGACCCATATGGTCCAAAGGGATGTCTATATGTTCTTCAGTTTTCATCCGATCCTTGAGCGGAATATCTTAAACGATTTGTTGATCAATTCTCCTTGAATCTGCATTAAAAGCCAAAAGCAAAAATATTTTCAGATTTTGTGTCATTTTTTCTATGGAGACTCCTCTGAAAAGGGGGAAGTGTATGGGGAGGACCCATATGGTCCATAGCGATGTCTATATTTTCTTCAGTTTTCATCCGATCCTTGAGCGGAATACCTTAAACGATTTGTTGACCGATTCTCTTCAAATCTGCATTAAAAGCCAGAAGCAAAAATATTTTAGATTTTTTGTCATTTTTTCTGAGAAATGAAGGATGGGGATGGGTGTATGGGGACGACCCATATGGTCCATAGCGATGGCTATATCTTCATCCGATCATAGAGAGGAATGCCTTAAAAGATTTGTCTTTAATTCATTATCTATCATTATATTCATTAATCTAGAATCTAGATCAAAAACCTGAGCAAACAAATAATAGGAGTTCGTATAGGTTTTTCAGATTTATATATTTTCAATCTGCATTAAAATCTAGAAGTGTGCTTTTTTTTAAGGTCTCTTTTCAAATTACTATATGTGTCTATAGCAATTTTGTCTGTATTTATTTTTTTAGTGCGTCTTTCGAAGGCATAGAATTTCGGGCAGCACACTTTAGCAAAACCCCGCTTGTTGGACTTGGCTCGTTAACTCTGACTGCTCATCATTGGGTGCGACAGCTAAAAAGCCAGCTACGATGCATTTATGTCAATAATGGCGACAAGTGCACTCCGCTTCCGCATCCGAGTTCGCGTCCACATTGTCCCGATGCCAAGCGGGAATCGATCGAGTGGGACCAGGAGGTGCTGTTGGGTCCGTCCAGAGATTCGATTGGAGGAGTCTGAGGCGGGAAGGATGAGCCACTTGAGCCAAGTTGACAGACAGTTCGAAACGAGCGCGCATTTTACATTGTCTGAACGAGTGCCATTGTCGAGCACTTTGCAAGCAGAGTGGAGCAGTCACAGTGCCAATATATTGCCACCACCCATCATTACTCTCTAGTAAGGGAAGTGCTAATGGTGATACTTGACCTGGTGAAGCGGCCTGGTGTGTGCGGAAACGCGGTTAAGCGTCTGATAAATACACCAAGTATCGACTTAGCCCTGCGACGCACGAATTTAATCGGCCCAGATTGGCTGCATTGATTAAAAAATTAATAATCTCTTTAAGCCACTAGCAGTGCTTTCTTTGGCCATCATCTGACTACTCTGCCTCTGGCCGCAGTCATTTGCTGCTGCTCCCAGCTATATAAACAAAAACTAGCTGTCTCCAAGGAGTCCAAAAGCTACATCCCCTTCTTGCCACTTCGTTGCTGAACGAAGATATTGAGATGTCGTCTCAAGTGTAAATTGTTATTGACACTGCGTGGTCCGGTTTGTGCTCCAAACCTTCGACCCCCACAATGACGATAATTTTATCAATGCCAGTGTCAGAATCACACTCCGGTTATTTCTTCACTGCCGTTGCTGTTGTTTACCAGACTTGTTTATGTTGTGAATTTGAAAAAAACCAGAGATGTCGAGGCAGCGCCTTTACGTTTCGTTGGTCTCGTCCAGGACATTTTTTAATTAAACGCTTGAATTTATTTTTCGACCTCTTCTTCAGCACCACGAAGTTAATTTAAGCTTGGCCCAAGGC